CGATTCAGAAAATACGTCGGTGACATCAGCGCAGTAAAACCTACCGGCGCACCCCAACTCGTCGCCGCTAAGCCGCTAACGCTCCCATTCTCCTACTGCCGAGAGAACTTCCGGTTCCGGAAACAGCCTACGTCACGGCTTGTTTTGCGGTCAGTTGGAGAGAAAGAAAAAGTCGATATTTCATTAATTTTTTGTGTAGAAGTTAATAAACCGAGACGAAAATGGATGCCTGTTCGGCATTCAGTGAACATTGACGGTTTAATAAAAAAGTTATCTGGAAAAAGTAAAAAGGACATTTCATGGTCCCTTTAAGTTTGTAATTGTCCTGGAGGTTTATTTTCTAGGACGGAGGAATCGCCTCGCAAAAAGCACAGAAGCGGACACAGCTCAAGGTCGAGGAGCGTTCTACCATACAAGTCGCGTCGGAGGAGGAAAAACGGGGGGCAAGAGGGGGAGGGGGGGGAAAGGGGGAAGGGGCGGGGGGCTTCAGCCTTCCTTCCCCTCTTCCAGATATTTCGGACTGTTAAAGGGACCATGAAGGCAGTTTCGAAGTTTTATTCGACGATTGAAATGGATGTCAGGCACGTATCAGATACTGTTGACCAAGTTCTAGCCCGAACAGAAGTTTGGGTGCCGCACCAATCGAGCAAACAGGCGCGGTAATAATAGCGCCGGGAACGATGCCCGAGACCCCACCGAGGCGGCGGCAGAAAGGTGAACTAAAGTGCGCCGAAGCGTGACGACAACGGGCTCCTCGTCTGGCGATTGGTTCAAACGATAGACGCGCTCTTGGTTTCAATTTCGGTGGTGAGATGTGATGAAAAAATTTTTACTTGAACGTTGGATAATCTTTTGAAGTTGTAGTTGGGAATTAATAGGTTTCATACCGTGTATAAAAGCATTATTTTGAAGGCGTAACCCTCCGTTTGTCACTGGTTGAACGCATCCCGCACTGCTACCTTGGGCGCGTAAGAAGCATCGAGCAACCATGGACAAAAAAAAAAAAGAAAAAGAGGTACGAGCGCCGGGGGCGGCGGACTCTTGGTTTTGGTTTCGTGCGTCGTCTCGTGTTCGCTTTGCGAACTGGTGTCTCGCCAATCATGCCGCGTTTATGTGCAGTAGTAGGTTGCGCGAAAGGTCGGCTAAAGACGTGCGGTGGTCGATCGGGCGACGTTAGTTTGCATAAACTGCCGACCGATGCAGCAATGCGCAGCATTTGGTTGCGCGCCGTCGTCTTGCGTAGAGCTGTGGACAGCGGTGTCAGGATTTGTTCGTTGCATTTCCGACCGGAAGACTTTGAGCAGCACCTTCGCGTCAGCCGGAGTCTGGGTAAAAACATGAAGTTCCCGCGTCTGAGGAAAGCGCGGCGTTGACGTCCATTTCTTCGAGGTTTTCTTCACAGACCGCCGTGCACTAGAGCGAACCACGGGAACCACACTGAGTGTGCACTAAATCCTACCGATGCCGACAGTGCTCCCTGACGTCACTTCTCTTTCCAGAGGCGAAAAAGGGAAGAAATCTGAATGTTTGTTTCGGTTTCGCAAATTTATTTGCAGGTACAGAAATAAGAGTCGCAACGTTCTAGAAAACATTGTATGGCATGCCAGGACCCCAATGCTTCCGAAAACACCGTATTAAAAAAAAAAAAAAAATTAAATTGCCTTCATGGTCCCTCTAAAGAAAACAATACGGGGAAAGAGGGCGTGGTCGAGCTTACTTTAATCTGGAATTGTTGCTCTTCACTGCATAAAAGATCGCGCAGATAGTCATTGTTAGAAACTCTTTGTCAGAAGGCACTACTCGTCACATGCTTAGTGGTTCGGAAGTTCAAAGCTATGTCTTTTCGACCTAAATACCTGTGCCAATATTAATAAATGCGGGGATAAAAAGTTGGAAAAAGAAATTATCAAGAATTCGCCTTGCATATTCAGAGGTTCAGAACTTTGAAACAAGTTTCTCCTACCAAAATGTGTACAGGCTAAAAAAAAAACACGTCCCAGGAACGTGAAGCGAAAAAAAAATTTTCTTTTAATGACGTACTGAACTTGAACAATATTAGAAATCTTCTCCCATGAGTTAATTTATTCCTTAACGAGAAAAAACAATAAATACATTATTTTGTATTCTGCAGATGGCAATGATATGTACTGTCTGTGGTGTTAAAGGGATACTGAACCAAGGAATTTGGTGTCCATAATAAGTGGCGCACGTTCTTTCCACGAGCCAGCAGCCGCCGGTGTGCGCGAGCACACGCAACAAAAATGACGTCACAGACCTCCATTCGTGGTTGAGATGACAGTGAAATGTATGGGCTTTGGACCAAAGGAGAATAAAGACAAGTTTTTCATCTACACAGTGGTGCCTGTTGTAAAAGTAAGCGATGAATTGGTCTAACAAGCACGTAGCTTTCACTTGTAGAGATGAAAAGCCTGTCTTTATTCTACTTTAGTCCGAAGCCCCATACATTTCACTGTCATCTCAACCGCGAATGGAGGTCTGTGACGTCATTTTTGTTGCGTGTGCTCGCGCACACCGGCGGCTGCTGGCTGGTGGAAAGAACGTGCGCCACTTATTATGGGCACTAAATTCTTTGGTTCAGTATCCCTTTAATTTAAATGCGATACATCACACAACTTAGACGAAAATAAATACCAAGTTTAGGGCATAACTACCCATAGATATATGTTTGGACATTTCTTCGAAACTTATCTCGAATAACAATAATCACATCTTAAGACGACACTTACCTAGGCTATACATAGATCATTCTTAAAAAGTTTAACATCTCTACCATAAATAGCTTCGGCTACAGCGCGCTTCAAATCTGGCACAAGCGATAATCGTCAAAAACCCGTCGTTCTTCCTCGCCCCTTCGGGAATTTATTTCTTTAAAACTAAATATGCCAGAACATTGAAATAAACGGCATTGTCTTTCGTAAGGAACGCAGCACCACGTGTAAAAGTTCGAGAAAAAAAATTACGAATGTACCTCACTACTTCAATTAAAATGAAACCGTCCGCCGGTCTTTCGAAGTTCGACGAACGTCGAACTTTTACCCTAAAAGGTCGAAGTTCGTCGAGCTTCGGACTTTTCAGGAATCGAAAGTTCGAAACTTTTCGAATTCTCTCGATAAATAAGTTCGAAAGTTCGAAAAATGTTGAATTCCTTAGCATAGAAAAAATCGAAAGTTCGAAAAACTTCGAACTTTATAGTGCGATAAGGTCGAAAATTCGAAAATCATCGAAGTTTTTGGTCAGTCAAGTTCGGAAGTTCGACAAGCATCGATATTTGCAGCGTGATAAGTTAGAAAGTTCGAAAAGGCTCGATTTTTTAGCGTAATAAGTTCGACGGTTCGAAAAGCATCGAACTTCTTACTAGACATGATTAAAATAGCGCAAATTTGACAAGGACAAAAAGAAGGCACACGTAGAACAGGACTGGCTCTTAGCTTAACAAGTTCGAAAATTCGACTTCCGTCGAATTTTACGATATGGAAAATTTGAAAAATCGAAATGTTTCCGAACCTTTCGAACCGCTTGATTCGATCACCGAAACTTCGATTCGAAAAACGTTCGCGGCATCCCTAACTGTCGTCATCGGGGAATATCTTCTGTAGTTCTTGTGACCATTGCGACCAAGTTTCCAGTCGCTTCCCGGACGCTCGATGCCACTTGAGAGCCGTTCCGCTGCCCTTCGATGACGCAACAGCGAGCGTTATTCCATCGCTCCACCCAGCCTGCGCCGCCACCGTGTTGACAGGAGATACCCAGTCTCGCGCACTCTCCCTCATGGCGCCCGCTGCCGCCGACGAGCCAGAGAAGGCGGAAGTTTACGCCGTCAAGTCCGGCATCGCGGTCACCGATGCGAAGCCCGGTTGCGACGTTCTCAACTGCACGTTGGCAAGCTGCTCGGCAACGGTCGCTAGGGTTCGCATGAGTTCACGGTCTGCGGCCATGGCCGTGCTTTCTCGTCAACGGAAACACTGAACGCTCTCTCCTCGGTAGCGGAAACAATGGAGGCGCACCACCGCCCGTGAAGAAGACTCACGTTCGTCGGCGTGAACGTGGCTGTCGCAGCAACCACTGCTCCGGGAAAGTTCAGCTGTGATCCCACTTCTGAATGTTAAAAATTTCAGAGTAATATAATCGAACATTCATAAAGAAACTGGTTTATTCTAAAGACGATAAAATATTTGGCCGATCAAGCCGGCACCATCTTGCGTCTTTTTTTCGTGTTTGCCAACCGCGGATTACTTCTCCGCCGCACCTGGCGGCCTACTCGACGAATCGCTAACACCCTCAACCCGCGCTAATGACCCCATATGAACACTTCAAGCCTGTGGTTGTGGATTAAAGGTCCTAGCAAAAAATGCTGCTTCGTGCTTCTTGCGTGATCCTTTTGACACCGACTAGCATGGAGATGCAAGTTTTGGGAAAAACATGACGGAGTCTAGCTGCTAAATCAAGTGTAAGACAGGCTCCCCTCCCGTAAAGGGTGCTTCGTCATGTACGTTCCTTGTGGCTGCTTTTAAAGCACGAGTTTCAGGGGCTTCCTCGGCGGTAAGTTGGCAAGTCCTGCCGCGTTTATCGTTTTGTTCGGGCTTTGTGAGGCTCATCTATTTCGGCCTCGTGCCGAAATAGATGAGAAATAATGAAACTTTTTTTCCTCGGCCAACCAGTCCTTCGAGTAAACGCTTCATGTTCTAAAACATAAAATATAAAGCCGTTTATGTTGGCAACCACCTATTGCTGTAAAAAAAAGAAAAAAAAAAAGCTGCGTTTATGTAGTTTGCATTTCCTCTTCGTCTCTCAATTTTCGCCCCAGCCTACTTCGAACTAACAGCGTCCCCCTTTCAGGTGCTTTGATTGGCATCCTTCCGCATTAGCGTTCGAATATTTTAACCAGTCCGTTCATCTCGCCTATACGAATGTTCACCCCTGAATGGAGGACAGTAGTCTGCCGTTCTCTGGAGTGGAACAGTAAAGCGCTTTTCTCGCAGCGTGAAGCACGTGTACAAGGAGATCCCGGTGTACAAGATCATCCCGGTGTACAAGACCATCCCGATCATCAAGACCATCAAGGTGATCAAGGAGGTGCATGTGCCCAAGGAGGACCACGACCACCACGACCACGACGACCACCACGACCACCACTACAAGGTCGTGTGGCAGGACCCGTCCAAGGAGGAGTGGCAAGGCTCCTCCGGCTGGCAACCACCGGTCTACAAGGACGGCTGGAAGCCGCAGTCCGGCTGGGAGCCAAGCCAGGGCTGGGAGTCCTCCGGGCCCTGGAAGCCCCAGGACCAGGGATGGAAGTCTCAGGACGAGGGCTGGAAGCCCTGGGACTCATCAGGGTGAGTTCGCGCGTCCTCGGAGCTGCGACCAGACTGCGCCTTCCGCACGCCTGTCTAGAGACAGTGGTTGAATTCAATGAGGAGTTTCTGGAAAGGGTACAGCTGCACCAAGCAATATATTTCACGAGAGCGCTAAACAGGGAGGAAAGACTCCGATAACCACCTGCGCATTTCCAATGCACAGCCGCATCAAACATTCCCGTCTATTAGAGCCGCCACAGATACGCGCTGCGCCAACTTTTTTGCCAGTGACGAAGACTGCGCTCGCGACATGTCGCAGAGCGATGCCCCTAAGAACAAGGTCCCACAACTGCTCTACAAGCAAGGCAAAATTTGTAGAAAAATGGCCGGCTAATGATCTTTGTCTTAGCTTTATTTTTTTTAACTTGTTCTTTTGCTCAGCAAAAATAAATAAATAAATATATAAAAGAAGCTCGAGTCAATATTAAGTTCTAAACAGCCTCTGTCCGCGCCTCGTGCTGCCTTAGAGGTGCGCTAAAAAGGTTTCTAACCCCGGCGTTTTAAGGCGCTCACTTGATTTATATTTTGTAATAGTTCTTAAAATGGTGCGCGTGTGTGTGTGCGCGCGTGTGTTTGTGTGTGTCTGTTTATACAGCCTGAAGTTAGTCTGCCTCAACTGGCGACTTGTCTCTCAGCTGTCGATGAGAAATTTAGCCAGTGTAGTACAACCGCTAGCCTGGGGTCTTTAACCTGCACCACACAGTAGTGCTACCCGACCGCATGCCGGTACGATGCTCATCCAGATCGAAACAAGCCGGGGTGGGGATTGAAATAGTTCTTAAAAGAAAGTTCAGCAGTCGCGTCGCTTCATCATCGAGACCTTCTTTAGAACATTCGGAAGCGCCAATTCTTCCCCACCGGAAAGCACAGCAGAGAGGTGGATGGCTGGCCAAAGCTCGCATGCTGAACTTCGTGAGGGGGTTAGGAAGGGGTAACGAGACTCAGACAGAGAGAAAACCCTTCGCAGGTTCACTGCAAGGCCCACCCCATACGTCGTCCGTCATTTTGTTATGACCTCTCAGCCGTAACAAAAAATAATGCAGGATCTAACAATTCAGATCCACGTCCAGTCCCCTCTTAGGTAAAGGCCGAAAGGACCTTCGCAAACAACCGTCGCCTGATTCGTCCTTTTGCGTGTCTCCAACTTTTTTGTCCTTGTCTTTCTTCGCCATTGCGGCTAATATGAATGGGCAGCTGGGCCGAGCTAGCTTCCATCTTAACCCGTGGATATCCGTAACACCGGACACGCGAGACGCGCCCTGAATCCCAGCAGTCCTCGGGCGCAGCGCCCAGCCGACGACAGGAGACCGGCAGGACGACGAGCCTCTTTCGCACGACCGTCGCTCGCAGACACGCGTCCGTTTTGGTTGATTTCCGACTCTCGCCGGCTCCCGTCAGGCATGGGTCAGTCTCGGGGCTACTCCGCTACGTACGTGGCATGAGCGGGAACACAATGTCTCGCCAGTCAGAGATCCGACTTCCTCGGACACCGATCAATCAGGTTTCCCGAAGGAAAGGCGCGCTTCGGCAGTCGGGCGCAGCTGCACAAGAATGAGCGACGTGCCTCTGCGGGGGAGTCTGGGCGGCCCAGAACGGCGCCACGCGTGAGCGGCTCACCCCTTGCTCTTCGCAGGTCCTCCCACCCCGGAATCGAGCGGCGCAACGCCACCGCCAAGGACGCCAAGCACTGACCGTTGAACCACTCCAAGCAGGCACATTAACCAGACTACTAGTCCCGGAGCGTCCCGGTCTTCGCGGCGGCGCATCTTCTACGAAGCGCTCCCAGATCATCCGCCCGTCGCCACGCAGCGTCGAAGCGCGCGATACAGCGCCGTTCTCCGATCCTCGGGACGGTCTTCGAGAGCCTCGTCCTTTCTGCACAAACTTCCGTAAAGTGAGGCGAGACTCTGTTTCTGAAGGAGGAACCCCGCTGGCCTCGCACCTTGCCGGACGCTGGGCCGCCTCGAATAAAAAAGATGGACGTCGTCGCCCGAGTACATGGTCGTGTGTGCGTAGCTCTCGAGAATAGCGCGCTCCGATGAGCACTCAAGGCAGAGCCGCTGGTGGAACTGTTTCTGCTGCGCTCCGACAAATAATTTTAACCCAATCGTAGGTGATCGTTAAAATCGGTTAATCGGTCCAATGAGGAAGTAAAACAGTGGGTAGAATATTACGAAATTATACTGTGGTCGGGGAAGACAATTGAGCTTCTTTGAAATCATTGTTTCGTAGGTTCTCGTGCGAAACCGCACGTTGCGTGGATCGACGAGCGACCACCTAAAGGCAAGGCCTGCGCAGCCCCTGCTCGATCCCCGCCCACGCTAAAGCTCGACCAGAGTAAAGGCTCTCGTATACTCCGACGTCGAGCGTAGCGAATGCAGCGCAGAGCGTGGGCCTTTGATTGGCCGACGAGCAGGAAGTCGATATCTGCGACCAATTATCAACATCAGTGTGCGCTGCGCTACGCGGCGTTTGCTACGCTCGACGTCGGAGCATAAGAGAGCTTTGGCGTGGCCGTCTGCTAGCGTGGTCGTGACAAGACGCGCTGGCGGTGATGTTGACGCAAGCTAGCCCGAGCTGCCTGGATTCACCAATCGGGGGGAGGCCTTGGGCTGCCACGACAGGCTTTCAGGCGAGAGGCCAGCGCTCGCGGTGCGCGCGCGCCGCCCAAAACACCTCGAACCGTCCACTTCCCAAAAAGGTTTTGGCATAACCTTAGCGTTGCGGGAATATTACATTTGTATGCAACCTTTGATTTCGTTAGTTGGGCACACATTCCCGTCACAATGTACACAGAAGCGGGGAAGAACCGAAATAAATCTATAGGACATTTTAGTGGCGTTCATTGGCCAGCCACTACATAAGTAACTGAAATGCGCGAGATATTTCCTATAGTATTCACTGGCGGCTACAGCTGTGGGCGCGACTGCTGAGCGCAAGCTGACGGCGAGCTTCCACGGTTCTTTTAAAACGCGCATTGCACACCATCAAGATTGCCGGTCTTAGCAGCCTAATAATGCGAGCTCCTTCCGAGCAAGCGCTCTACACAGAGCCCTCAAATAGGGAGCGTCAAGCACGTTTTCGGTTTTTGGTTTTGTTCTAGGCACGACACCACTGTTGTAAATAAAATGTTCTAACCAGCTGAGAACAGCGGGGACAGTTGTGAGGCCTCCAGCGGGAGTTTCGTGTACTTCCGACAAGGCTTCGGCGCCTCGTGCACCTCGAGCACGCGGCCGAAGCACGGCAGAAGGCATGGACCGCCTGCTGAGCAAGTTCCAAAGACTCTCACTAACTGCATAGGTAGAGATTTAGAAATCGAATAAGAGGTACTTGAGAAATGTTTATATACAGGCGCGGCTTTCCTCAGTCTCCCTTCCCTTTGCCGTAGGATGGGGCGATGACCGGTTGGAGTTGAGCGAGTTGGCACATATCCCTGACTGTGAGGATACAGCTTGAACACTAAACGATTACACGGGACAAGGGATATACACGCGAAGCTGCAGACTTATTCCTTAGTATCTCCTCTTTCCTCGGTCTAGTCTTGTCCCTCATCCAATCAACCACTGCATGCTTCAGAGATCCGGTAAACGGAAAGCATTTTACACACTCATTGATTACGACGAAGAATACATCGCAAAAAGAACATAAAAATAAAATAAATTAAAAAAGAAAGTGACCTAAGAAAAAAAAACACATCACCATTCAGTTCAAGTCATATTGGGCCTCCGCACATTGTGTGTGTGTGTGTGTGTGTGTGTGTGTGTGTGTGTGTGTGTGTGTGTGTGTGTGTGTGTGTGTGTGTGTGTGTGTGTGTGTGTGTGTGTGTGTGTGTGTGTGTGTGTGTGTGTGTGTGTGTGTGCGCGCGCGCGCGGGTGTGTGTGTGTGTGTGTGTGTGTGTGTGCGCGCGCGGGTGTGTGTGTGTGTGTGTGTGTGTGTGTGTGTGTGTGTGTGTGTGTGCGCGTGCGTGCGTGCGTGCGTGCGCGCGCGCGGGTGTGTGTGTGTGTGTGCGTGTGCGTGTGTGGGTGGCTGTGTGAAGCGTGCTTAAAGGACTGTTACAATGAGTCACTGGGTCGCAGCACACCTTTGTTTTTTCTTTGTTGTGATTGAAGGACTGCTGACACAGTCGTCTGTACTTTCTTCGATAAGCCTCAGGCATCTCGTGCGCGTGCGAATTTTTTTTTTTTTTTCAAGAATGTTGAGTTTGTTGAAGACTAAACTACGCTCACACGTCTTGCAGTGGGCTGATAATTGTGTCCCGCTCATGTGCCTTTCACTGCCGCTGCGTCTTCTATGATTAATACATCGGCCGCGTCAAAATATCGGTCAGGATATCCGGATGATCTCCAAGTAGACGTGTGCGAAAATATTTGCGAGAAACTCAAACGCACGCCAGCAAGCAGCGAAGAAACAGTGGCGGAAAAGACCCGAAAGAAGCTAGCGGTGATCCCATTCATTCACTCATAGATATGCACCAAACAAGGCCTACTCCATGTGCCACCGAGTAAACAAGAAGGCGTGAAACGCTCCTAGTTCCCATAGGAACAAAGATGTGCCCAGTGAGAAACAGAGGTTGTCTACCGCATTCCTCGATCGTGCGGTGAATGTGACATCTGCGAAACGGGCCGATGTATTCGCAACTTTCACGGCCAATAGGGGGCGCGCTAGTTCCCACCGGAACGGCTCTCATCTGGATGTTCGTCGCAGAACAGGAAGAAGAGGTTGTGCCTGCGACGCGTAGGTAATTCTAGTTTTGTGAAATGCGAGCGATATGAGAGCCGAATCTGCCCACAGTCGCTGTACATCGCTGTCCAGGTTACTTACGCGAGCGTGGTTTCGTTTAGCGCCTCCAAGTCACACGTTAGCGCCGGTATGTTTAGGACGGTCGCAGCCATCCACGAAGCATCGCGTGCCTGGATGACTGGAACCAGACGGAGTATGCAGCGTCGCTTTCTGACCGGCATGGGAGACCGCGAGAGATGAGCCCCACCTTTTCGGCGCTGACAGAAGAACCCGCGGACCGCGCTGGCTGACCTTGACCCACCTACGAGAGACAGCCACGCCCTTTCGAATTACGCCGTCCGCCGGTAAAACCGCCGATTCCGCGCGGTGGCGTGAGCAAAACACACTATCGAATCTCCGTAACTTTTCTGACACGCGCTTCCAGGGCCGGCTTGCTAGAAGCAGCGTCTTCGTTGATCCTGGCTACAAGGAAGCCTGCCATGCCTCGACTTGAGACGCCACTCCGCTCGTGCTCTGGCAGTGCTTTCTTTCACCCTGTCGTAGCTGAAACGCTACTTGTATGGGCCAACGCGCTGTTTCCAAGCGAGCCCACACGAGGTATGGGCACTGCGCATGCGCAGAAACCAGACTGGCGTCTGCGCCTGCGCCCTGCCGCAAGCAGCGCCACCGCAGCGGCGTGAAGTCAGACTAATCTCAGCAGGCAGTTGACACCGCAAAGCATCGAGGGAGCTCCAGCGACAACCCCGCTGGAGCTCTGCGCGTGTGGAGCACGAGAAGGCACGAGCCCTCGCACGCACGACCGTCGGCCTCCTGTCAACGTATAGGCCCGTAGCTCTCAAGTTTTGAGCAGCGCTCCAGGCGAGCGAAATAGAATATATGGCTCGCGTTTTGAACATGCGTCAATACGCTTTTGCCACTAGAGTTTTTTTTTCTACTCCGTTCCATTCTAAGTGCTAGCGTAGCAGAGGCTACAAGAGCGACCTGCGAGCTTTCAGTAGTACAGTGTACTTTCAGCGTCCCTGTCAAGCACGCGCGCTCGTGCAGTGCGAGCATCTTTCAGAAGGACGTGATTCTGCGATTAGCTTCGGCTTCGCTATCACGTAAAGTGAAACATACGTGCTCGCGGAAGCTATAAATGGAAGCAAAGATGAAAGGAACGTTTAATGGGACGCTGCGGCCGCGAGCTGCATAATTCTTTTTCTTAATTTTTATATTTTTATAGGTTTTGTTACCGCGCATCTTCAGATGTTTGCATTCGAACGTGGCACGTGCAAAATCGAACGTTACAGAGCAACCTGGATGGTTCAGCCATCATAACATGGTCGCGTCTTGCGGATGCGCTCGCGCCCCCTGCCCCAGAGCAACGGGTCTATGGCGGATGCGCCCCACGCCGTGTGAGGTCGGTCTATCGCAAGCATGGCGCCCCGACTGGTGCCCCGTGCGTACAAGCAGGTGCAGCGTGGGCTCGGACATGGCTCTGACAACCATGAAATTGCACGTACTTGCCCGGACGAGCAGAGACATGGCGGCCGCCAAATGCCCTGCTTGCGTGTATAGGCCTCCTGCGCTGAAGCTTTGAGCAAACTATAGCGCCCTCATTTTGGGTAGTACAAGCTCACCTGACTGAGGTGAGCTTGTACTACACTGAGGTGAGCCCTACTTATGGCACGTTGGTCGAGCTTTTTCATTTCTATGTGGTGCTAAAGAGCGAAAAAACACCGTTGGACGCCAGAAATCTGCCAAACTCAACGTTGCAAGAGAATCGAAAGTGCCAAATTCATGACACGACCGCTAGGGCACGCGTCTCTTATGTCTGGGTGGTGACGTCATCACACCTGTGTCGCGACGCTTTAATTTTTTTTTTTTTTTTGATGTCTACTTTGGAACGCGTGAAACGGCATCTCTTGGCTCACGCTCTCAGCGTCTTAGCTTTGACGGCGTTCGAATTTTTGTTCTGTCTTTGCATTTTCATCGTGATCTCGCGCTCCGCACCAGAGCAGGCACGCTTCTGCATGCGTGACAGTTTGAGACGCTAAAATTTGTACTACCCAAAACAAGTACT